AATGCATTTACTATCTTTTCCTCTCCAGAACTTTCAGCTGTCCAGGGAAGTTAGGAAAGATCCTGAGTTGTTCTCAGGGTATGGAGAGAGAAGGGTTGAGGACGCTTTTAGTATTTTTCAGTCTTCTTTGAGAGATTTCTGATTATGTACTGGGGGGGTATTTTTTTTCCACCACCGTGAAAAATGATAGGCAGTCATCTACAACTTATTCAGTGTCAGGATTAGAAAATCAGCACTTGTGACGCATGTGGCAAAACCAGTAGGGAAGTTTAAAAGATACAGAGGTGAAGTAAAACAATCCACTGGAAAATCACTGCCTTAGATATATATTTAATTTTTTTAAATTTTATTTTTTATTCTGAAACACTGAACAAAGTATCCTACTTCAGGAAATACAAGATCATACCGCTTTTTGTTATTTTTTGAAAATTAGTTTGTTTTTACTGTGTAACTGGTTATGTTATTATACTGAGATATGGATTTACTCAAACCAGTCACATTCTTCCAAACATCCAAGTTTTTCTTTTGGAAATAGCAGCATTAACAGTACTTGCCAAAACTTCATGATGTATCTTAAAGATATGCCACTTGGTGCTGGAATTAAAAGAAAGATTCAAACATGTGGGATTGCACTTACATGTTAATCTTTTATGTAGTGTTACTGAACCAACTACTAAAGTTTCTGTGATGTTTTGAAAACATTGTGGCACAAAGCTCCCAACACCCTCCAGTACTATCTCAGTGTGATCTGATTAGCACCTGTTTGCCTTCACTAATCCAACTTCAAACAAAAACGTGTGCTTTCCCGACTATCATTAGACCACACATTACAGCCTTACCAATGCAGAATCCTAGGATTTAAGCCTGAATTTTTTCATTAAAGAAACTCTTTTTTCTGTATCAGCTCTGCAAATTAGGACAAGTCATGCAGAGACACCAGTTGGATTGTGGCATTATTCAATTTCTGTGCAAAGGGACTGAGAAGATACAGTGTTGAAATACAACAGTCTGTAAATTAAAAAGCATCTACCTGAATCAAACTTCTCAACCACCATATAGAATGTCTTCAGACAAATTATTCTAAATAAGCCAAGTCAAGATTTGAATAAATATTATGAGAATTATCTACTTTTTTCTACATTTTTTGTTAAATTTCTTTTGTGTTACTTTTTTTTTTTTTTTTTTGTATCCAGATTTACCTTTGATTTAGCTGCTTTCCGCTACCAGATCTCACACTGAAAATAATCATACTGCTGTCTTTGGCAGAATTTAACTCAAGCAAGGATGACAGAACATGGCAGTTTATAATAAATATACTTCCAAATTTAACTTTACCTTTGTTTGGGCTTTGCTAAACTCTTTCCTGGTGGATATAGACAGAAAAGTATAGACTTTTTCCTGGAAACAGTGTGCAATGGTATTATCCATTTGTATTATTACCACTATACCTTTTTCTTACTGGCAGTTGTAACAGAATATCTTATTACATAAATGAAAAAAACCCTGCATTTAAATTAGGCCTTGATGTTACCTTTGGTGCCTCACAATCCTTTCAGTGATGATCTTTAAAAATAATGTAGATTTATTTATATTTTCATTACCTTTTCAGCTTAAAAATCTGTCAAATTTTCTGCACAAGTAAGAGTTTTGACTGGTAGAATGTACATACGATATTTGTCAATGTGTTTTTGATTTCTGAATTAGAATCAAATTCAATACTGTGCAGGCGACCAAACTGTTAATTATCAAGGGTGGGTGTGTAAATGACATGCCGAGATGTCTGTTGAATAGACATTAGTAACAAATGATTACTAATGTTATCGTAAACTCTGATCCTATAATTTTGTATTTTTCTTTGCTTTCATCACACAAGATTTGTTATGAAGACTTCCACTTGCATTTGTTGAACATGTCTTACATAGTCTAGTAATTTTGAATGATAATACTTACACTCTATTCACAGTTAATTTCACCAGTTAAGACCATGCATTTTGTTTTTCTGGTCACTGTTACACTAATAGAATGCATTCAAATGTTTACAGGGTGGGTTCTTCAGTTGTCACTTGTTTTCATCTTGGACTTTTTCCCACTAAGCACCCTGTAAATTATTACATAAATTCTTCATACGCTCAACAACCATTTCCTAGGAACAGGATATTAACTAGTTTATCACCTAATGAGGCTCTGATACAAACTGGTCTGGGACCATACCCACGAACCAGGTCTCCAGTGACCTTGATTGCATATAGGAAATATAGCCATATCCCAAAACCACCAAGCAAACTGGAAAAACTTCTTAATCTGTTAACATGAAGTGGACTGAAAGACCACTGGTGGTCAATATTAGAGCAGATGTGTAAATTGCAGTAAGAAAAAGCTCCAGACAAACCTTCACTTACGATGCCTACTTATAAATACAGAATAAATAGGAGGATACTTTCCAAGGATCAAAACGCAAATAGCTGGCTTTTTTATTTATTCCTCACCCAGGCAGGCTCCTATTGCTTTTACTGGTTGTTGACCTGAATCAAATGTGAAAAGGAGCTCAGCTTTTGAGCAGTAGGAAACTTTGAGCTAAATTCCTATCAATATAATAGACAAATAGCATCTCCCTGTATTTAGTTGTTTGCTAGCTTTTAGTTTCAGTTAAAAGCTTTGCAGAAAAATGCTTCCACAGCTTATTCATACCTAGTTTTTTTTTTTGTTTTTGTTTTTTTTTTTTTTTTTTACCAAACATATTTTGAAAGGTAAAATCCCTTGTATTTATACTTCTAACATGTCATTATTATAATTTCCTGAGCTCTGACAGTTTGTTAGATAATGGAAGAAACATAAAAGAAAGTATCAGTGCTGTCTCGGGTGTCTAACACTCCCCACTACTAATCCCATGATGTTTCTGCTGGGGAGTAAACTCAGATTATTCCTTCAGTGAGATATCTTGGAAAAGCACTACCTACCACAGGCAAAGGACACAAGACATGGTCTTGTATTATATTGTTTTGCTCTAGTGAAGAAAGTTTGAAATACTTTTAATATCTGAATGATGGTAGTACATGAGCTTTAAAGAAAAGGGACTTAGGGAGTCCTGAACACAAAATGGGAGACAGTGACAGATAACATACAAGGAAAAGGTGACTTTTTTAAAAGGCTGCAGAAGCAGACTGGGGGCTAGCAAAGGAAGAAATTAAAAGCAAGTTTGTCAAGAACAGGAAAAATATCTCAGTGGAAAAGGGCGACTACTAGAAGGCAAGAAAAGGTGATGCCTGAAAAAAATCGGCAGGACAATACCGACATTAGAATGATGATCTTTCTTCAGATAGAATATTAAGACATGTAGGAATATACTTCATGTTGAAATGGTTCAGCATTATGATAATAAACAGTGAAATGAGTTTGAGAAAACAGTGTAATTGAAGGACAAAAATAGAATATAATTAGAGGAGTCCATGGAATAAAGAGCAGTCCAGGCACTGGAGAGAAAAAAAGGAAAAAAAAAAGTGGAATGACTGAGAAACAAATGAAAGAGTGAAATGGAGAAATTTACAGAGTGACAGAGAAGAGAGGAAACAAAAATCTGAAAGCAGATTCTAAGAAAAAATAGATGACATGCAGAAGTTGCTTACTTTTTCTGTTTCAACATAAAATGAAAATTTTTCTGAGCTTGAAATTAAATGTTTAGGCATGTCCAGTACTTTAATTTCAAACTGAATGAAAGGCATATATTTCAGCCTAAAGAAATTGTTGCTGATTTTTTTTAACCTATTTAATAATGTCAAATTCAAAATGATAAGGCAATACAGATCTCAATATATAATGTTGCTACCATATGCCTGAAAAGAGACACCTACATTATCATTACTACTGTAAGACCTTAGTAACTTATTCTTCTTGGTCTATCAGTTAGATAGCATGGTAATATTGATGAGTTAATGAGTAAATTCATAAACTCTGGACTGTCCACAACACTTGCTGCTACATGCCCAGCCACATAAAATTTTTAAATACAGAGACATGAATCTGTAAATTTGCAAAAAACCTGGTTTCATTACTTCTGCTCATAGATAAATTGTTGCGAGTAGAATTTAAAAGGCCTGCTAAAATGACAAAATATGTGGAAGTCTGCTTTTTAGAGGATAGGTCATATGAAATGCTTAAAATCTTAATGTCTCAAGAAGCTATACAAAAGAGAAAGAGCTCTGACAATTTTTCTACCAGATGATGCATATTGTAGAATATTGGTAAATAAATTAATAGAAAATTGGGGAAAAGAGTCCCTCGACAGGCATCAAATCATACTACCTAACCTGGACATTAATTTCACTGAAATTTGCATGTGTAACCAATGCCAAAGAGGAAATAATAACCTTGCATTTCATCAATACCACTAAGTGATAATAAGCTCTGTATTGTATTTCATCTTTTCCAATTACTTGCTGTATGACTCTTAAAAACTAATTTAATTCATATATTTTTGTATTTAGAGAATTTAGCTAATTGTACTAACTTAACAGCCTTTCCGGGGTGGGAGTATTCATTTATTCTATTAATTTTGCTTTTGAAATAGAGCATAACATCTTTGTTGCTGAGCTCCGTTGGAGGTATAGATCTATATGGATCAAGCTGATGAAATTACAGCTAAGGCAATCTATAATTCAGGCAATATTCAAAATGTTTTAAGATCCTGTAAATACAGATACAAAAAGATTTGTCTCCATTCAGGAAATACTCAGCAAACTTTATAAAAAATTTGTATTATGATTTATATTTATTCCACATTCTTAACCCTGGTGTTTCAATAAGCATTAAATATCTATCTTCCATGTTCTCTGATCTTTTCTAAAATCTGGCAGTGCCATAACCAGGTCACCACTTTGCAAGGCAACCATCTTTTTCTTTGACAGACTCAGAAGCCCCTTCGAAGTAATATAATGTTTTGTCTGCAACAAAACAGAAAGCAGCAATCTTGGCATAAAATGCTTTGGAAGAAATTCTGACTCTACCTGCAATGTACAACCATAGGTCCAGCATCGGGTGGGTTGCATGTCTTGACTCGTCGCAGGAAAGCTAAGAAGGGTGTTGGGTGTTCTGGAACACCATGGTCAGGCCAGGCAGTGAACTGGAATTGCCTCACTTCCCTTTTCTCACTTGAGCCATTCTATGAAATTAAAGAACTTAATGACAAAACTGCCACTTCATGTGATATTGGCACTTTTCATGCATTACAAATATTGGCACTTTTCATGCATCACAAGTGCCAGAGCTTTAGCTAGTATTTCATTCCGTTATTTGTTTTTTCATAATGAGAGCTCTATATTAAATCACAAAACTCTATGTTGTAAGTAAAATATACCTGGTTTGTAGAAGAAGTCTTGCTGTTCATAGCTGCTAGGAGGAAATGAGGGAGAAAAGTGGAAAGGAGGAAAGGGAAGAACAAGGGAAGGAGAAGGAAGGGAGAAGGGAGAGAGAAGGGAAAGGAAAGGGGAAGGGGAAGAGGGAGGGGGAGTAGTGGTGCAGGGAGGGGAAGGAATAGGGGAGGGGAGGTGGAAGGGGCGGAATGGGGAGGGGGGGGAGGGGGAGGGGAAGAGAAGGGAAGGGCAAGAGAAGGGAACGGGCAAGGGAAGGGAAGGGAAGGAAGGGTAGGGAAGGGAAGGGAAGGGAAGGGCAGGGAAAGGGAAGGGAAGGGAAGGGAAGGGAAGGAAGGGAAGGAAGGGAAGGGAAGGAAGGGAAGGGAAGGGAAGGGAAGGGAAGGGAAGGGAAGGGAAGGGAAGGGAAGGGAAGGGACGGGAAAGGAAGGGAAGGGGAAGGGTAAGGAAGGGAACTGAAGGGATAGGGAAGGAGGAAGGGGAAGGGATGGGAAGGGAAGGGAAGGGAAGGGAAGGGAAGGGAAGGGAAGGGAAGGGAAGGGAAGGGAAGGGAAGGGAAGGGAAGGGAAGGGAAGGGAAGGGAAGGGAAGGGAAGGGAAGGGAAGGGAAGGGAAGGGAAGGGAAGGGAAGGGAAGGGAAGGGAAGGGAAGGGAAGGGAGACGGAAAGGATAAAAGTTGCCTACATATAAGTTTTAAAGTATACTGTAAGTATACAGAAGTATATTTACCTTGTAAAGTGCAAATGTACGAACACAGTATGTTGCCAATTCAACAGTGTCTAAAAGGGTCACTTGGATTAGTCCATAAGTTTCTGTCCCTCTGCTTGGCCAGTATTGATCACACTTCACCTGCAGTGAAAAATATGTAATTATTTAATAAATATAAAACTGATGTTTATTATCTGAGTATGTATCAGTGTAGGTTTTTAAAGCATGTGGAGTTAGAATGTTTAACAACTGCTAAGGATACAACATAATAAATTTATTTTATTGTCCACAGGAGTTGTTCCTCTGGTAGTAGTTCTTACAATATGTTCCTCCATAATGGGTATATGTAAATTCAGTGGGGCAGATGATTAAGAAATATTAATAAGGATAGATACACTATAGAAAGAACAATTTATAGTAGTTAAAAACATCATCTGTATCTTCAGTTCGGGATTTTACAACAGTACCAATCCAGTAAAGGTAGACAGATAACTTTTTTAATATTAGATATATTTTACCTATTTCACATTAGTCCTCAAACATATAAACTGTTGCTTGGATGTCAATATTTCATATGTATAGAAACATCTCAGTAAAAGCCTGAATTTTTTCAGAAAGAATTTTATTACACAGATAAATGAAATAGCACCAACCACTATTAAGTGCCCTGTGAGAAAATAAAACTTCCCTCTCAGATCACTGTTACGAAGTATAGAATGAAACTGTGTGCACAGTCATTTAAAAAACATAGTCTGACAAAGAGAGTTCATCAAATTTTAAAAGACATAGGCCATTTAATTCAGAAAAATCTCCATTTCAAAACATCATAGTTTAGAATATTAACAAGTTGAAATAATTCTGTGTAAGATGATGCATAAGAGAACCATATGTTTACCACAATTGCTGAGGCTCAAGAATTTGTGTGAGTTAAAAACTATTTAGAATGAAAGGTATTATGAAAAAATAAATGCTGAATCCCTAAAACAGTCAGAAAACATGGTACAAAGTATTATGGGGGGTTAAATAACTGAAAATATTTTGCTTTCAGTGACTGATAGGTGAAACTGAGACAGTCAGTCTCCATTCTATTTATAACAATTCATTCTTATCAATTATTCTTGCATATGGTACAGAAAAAGTGTATTCTGAGTCCAGTAACAATACATTGTATTTGTTTAACAAATGTCTTCATTAATCACTCTAAGCCAGACTCATACCAAATTTGGTGAGAATATACAAACTGTAAGGAACAACAAAAGCAGAATATTGCACAGTATTTCTGATAAAAATGTGAATTATCATGCTAATCCAAGAGAAAAACTGATGATTCCCCCCAAAATGGAAAATTAAAAAATGTGTCTTTGAAACTTATGTGTTTTCTCCTCACTCTATACAGTACTTATTGAAAAAGACTTTGTACACTTTCAAACTCCCCAGTCCTGAATAGCTTTGCTTGCAAATCATTTTGAGGCTCACATGTCACAGATCAGTAACAGTTCACAATTCACAGTCTGAGAACAAGTAATCTAGATAAAGAGGAGAAAAAATTCTAACCACTGAAGCAGGTGATGAACACTCATTAGAGGCTAAAAAATCTGAAATAAGTTTTTACAGGAATTGATAGCTTGATTTATAGATAAGGAATTGGAACAAAGTAACTAAAAATGTTTATTGATACTACAGTCTTAAAAATGGGATTAACAGTGTATAAAATCCTCTTATTAGGAGGAATTAAGTAATTACTTCCTTGTACTTTTTACTGAAATATTGAAAGAGTAAGTATTACAGGTACTTCATGAATATTGGTGATTTATTTGCAAGATACCTAACATTAAAAGACACTATGGTCTTCAAATGAGACAGAAAGCTATATTTTCAATTGAGTTATTTAAATATAGTAAATCTAGTTTCACTTTATCATTAATATAAACACAATATAACTTGTGTCTATATTGTTTAGCTGTATTTTAGACAAAAAATGTGTGGTTTATTCTTTCATTTCCATAGAATACCATACTTTTTTTTTTTTTTCATGGAAGAATATTGATACATAATAGCTGTTGTTTGCAATCTTAGCAACTACAAGTTCAGCATAAACCTCTGACTAAACCTGTTTGGTTTGAAAGATTTAAAAAAAAGAAAAAAATGGTAGAATACTTTATATACTTTTAAGAAAATGAACGCAAAAAATAAATGTCTACCTGTACCTTTGCATGCCTAGACATGTAGTTCTCCTCTTTACCCTGTAGTTTCCACATATAAACTGTATGCTCATAAAAGCAGTGCCAGTTTCCGAAAAATATGCCTGAAAAACTAACCAGCTTTCTCGCTATAAAGACTTTACAGAAGAAAATGTAATAGAGAGAAATAAATGTTCAACACAAAAAATAAATTAAAATTCAGAAATTGTAGGTTACCAGCGCCTTTGCAAACAACAGAAAATGCCTGTTTTAATTTTTATTTTGTATAGTAATCTGATGTTAAGCGTATACTCAGATTTAGAAGCCTGTAGAAAATTGCTCCTTTTCAGTTAGGCTGGGAGAAAATAAATGTGCCTGCTCTTTTAGGTGCAGATTTTAGTTTTGTTTGTTTTGTTTTGTTTTCATTTATTAGTTTATTTAACATAAACTTCAATCATTTTATAATTTTTCTAAAATACTTTCTTTAAGAGGTAGCTGATACAGAGGGAGGACTGCTGCTGGAAGCAGACACTAACTGTTCAAAAAGAAATACATTTTGTAGACCAGTGTATATTATCTGAAAGTGGAAACTGGTGAAAATAAATATCACATTTTTAGAAAGAAAACCTGATTTTGGACTGATGTGGATTTGACCTTGTGGAAGAGCACATGAAGCATAAATTGATGGACCTACAGCTTTTATTCCTTTTTCCTCTTGCTTTTTCTCAGAACAAGGCGTCTTCTTCAGAGATGTTCCCTCACCCGCTTCCTATACTCTTCTTCTCTGTGATCATAAACATTACATTCCAAATACTCCTAACAATTTAGAGTCCAATTTATCTTTGTGAGACATCAGAACAATGTTTTCTATTGGACTTCACCAGCACCAGGGAATCAAATAATATAAGTTAATTGTTAAGACACTATTTTGTGAGACAGAGTTCTTGTTAAATGTTTTATGCTAAGATCCCAGCCACTAGCACTTAAAGTTTATTTTTCAGAGGTTACATATTAATGTTTTCCTCAGAAAAAAATTCTCAAACCCCTTGAATAATCCAAAATTTAGCACTAAATGTCAACAACTCAATTTTGAAACTATCTGCCAAATTTTTTTTTTTGCTTTAGAACTTTGGTTTATGTTTAATTTCCCTATAGTAGGGGTACTTTCTCATTTCTATACATTGTTTGTAAAACAGACAACTTTAATGTGGTACGGTATAGTGATGGTAACATGCATCCTCCTTCACAAATACAATTACAGGGTTTATTTATCTTCAGAGTCAGTTTGTAATACACCTTTGGTGAATTTCAGTCCTCACCTTCCTCTTATCCACACAGCTCCCAGTTGCAAGGATTGATCTTTCCCTCTGCAGACTATATTCACCTGCACCCAATCAGATCTATTCTGTGCCACTAACTGTACCTGGTTACAGAAAACAGCTTTCACCAGTAATTCTCTAATGTTCTCTTGCCCAACACTGAAGGTGGAAAGATGAATGAAACAGACACATGAACACAAAAGAACTCATTGGTGATTTCAAAGAGTGTTTTTTAAAGAGAATTTCAATTGCAAGTAATGACAAGCATACCTTTTACTACTTTCACTGCCTCATGATCATAGGTTGCACACTGCCAAAACCACTATATCTGAGATCAGAGCAGCTCTCAAAAGACTACTAAATATATTATGAAATCTTTTAAGTACCATAGCAGTAGACATAGCTAATAGACATAACTGATGATAGGCATGTTCTCTTAACTTGCCCCTCAAACATACACACATTTTCTTTCTGTATATTTATTTCACTCAGTCCACACAAATCCTTTCTCTTCATAGCAATATGAGCATTCACTGAAAGCAGAACTGTAAGAAAATGTAAATGCTTTCTTTTCCATTAAAAATGGGAAGCTGGAGACCATTTTAGACTTGAGGGGTTTAAGTAGCTACAGAGTTCCTAAGAGTATTTGTGGATATTCACACTTCAACAAGTCACAGACATTAGAGAAGGTGCTGCCATGCATCAGCAGAGCTGAAGGAAGTGTATTTCCACATGAAGATATGAACACAAAGATTCCTGACATTCAAGGGTAGAGAAATAATTTTCCAGTATAAAGTTCCATCATTCAGACTGAAAAACCCCTTCAGGTGATTCTTAACACGAGCCAGCTGTTACAGGCCATCTGAGATTATAAGGACAAAATGCAGAGCAGTAAAGAGACAGAAAACTAGTAATAGGCAGATTCATACAGTGTATTCCTTGCTTTAAGAACAGCATATGAATTATGCTGAATCTGGAATAGGAAATAACAGCACTACGTAACAATCTTTTTGCTCTGATTTTCTTGATAAGTCTTTTGCAGACAAAACTTTCTAATGACATTTTCAGATGGTCTTCCTTCAAAAATAAATTATCTCTACACTGATGTTTAATGGTAATAACAATTATGTAATAAAAAAGGTAGTGCCAGTTGTTGATGATGGAAACTGCCCCAAACCCTATGAGGCTAGCTTAGTGACTCAGACATTCCAGTTAATGTTCTGTTTCCAAGAAGCTGTTACTCTGAAGACATTTTTGTTTTTGCAACAATGCCTTGCCACTTAAAGACTAGGCTGATAGTCTTTAGGTCTTGAGTCTAAAGGTCGCAAGCACTGACACTAGTACATGAGACTGTAATGCAAAGATTAAAAAAAAAAAAAAAAAAACAACAGAACACGGAAACACATTTTTTAGGCCTTATTTGAACAAGATTTGGTCAAGTGTCACTCATTCACTTTGGTCTAACTATAAATGACAGATTTAAAATATAAACTATGCTGAAATAAGGCTGAAAATAAAACAGTCTAAAATTTTAAATTTTGCTCTCAGAGTGGCAATGAATTTAATAGCATCCTAAATTCTGAAAGAACTCAGCACCCAGCACTGGGTAGACAGAGACTTCTAAATCTCACAAAATGTATTC